TAGAAAAATCCGTGAAAAAATGTGGCAAAAACCATGAAAATACCAAATATCGGGAGGTACCGTTATATGGGGACTATACCAAAGCGTAGACCTATACATACAATGTTTCGCCACACGATATAGGACCCATTTTGACCCACAAATACCAATTTTTAGACAAATCCGTGAAAAATGTGGCAAAAATAAAAATACCGAATATTTGGAGGTACCGTTATATGGGGACTATACCAAACGTGGACCGATAGACCATTTTCAATACCAACCATTCTAACCACAATACAAATTGTTCTGCTAAATTTTGACGCTCTACGTCAAATAATGTGGGCTGTATCGTGATTTCAACAGACAGATGGATGGACAGACAGACGGACATCGTTTAATCGACATAGAATTTATCCTGATTATGAATATATATACATTATAGGGTCTACGACGAATATTTAGGGATGTTGCAAACGGAGTGACAAATTTCCAAGGTGGAGGGTATAAAAATATATGAGATATCTATGGCACATTATGATTTTTTACCTCTCAACGAGATTTCAGATAACTCTAAAGCATGGAGGCCAACTGAAGCAAAGTTTTTTTTAGGAAATCTTATATTTGAACTTAAAATGCTATCAGTGTCTTAAGCTTTGTACTGGTTCAAAGTTCTTTAGAAAGAAGCAACGTAGGAATTGAAGCTAGGACTTTAAAAGATTTTTCGAATATACTCGTTTTATATGTTTTTCAAATGTTTTTCCATAAACAACATTAATTCTAGACATTGAGAGGATCCGCACTCCTTCCGAGGTGTTTACGACGACTACTTCATAGAAATATTTTAGGATTTCTTTGAAAAAATCAATAATAGCTATATAGAGGAAAAAACAATAATAGCTATAGTTAATAGTTTATAAGGATTAATTACTGGGGTCCAAAAAAAGGTTTTTTTATTTAGCTCACCTGACATCCCAGTATTATCTGCTAAAATAAATTTATTCAATTTCTATTACAAGTACAATAGGAGTGCACTTAGCAAAAATGAAAGAAACCCAGCGACCAAACATTTAGTTTCACGCCATAGCCACACTAGTTACACATCTTAATTTGTTGTCCAATTCCCTAAATCTCGTTAGTCATACGACGGATTGTGTAAACTGTGTGACAACAATAACAACAACCACATCCTAGCAAAAAGCTGTTTCTAACGAATGTGTCGGTGTGTGTGTATGTGTGTGAAAAGTGCACTCAAGAATTCTCTTTTTCTGTATGTATGTGAGTTACTATTGCCGCTGCTCGGTGTGGACATGTATGAAAGAACAGATGAAACGTGTTTCACGTTTGTGTAATATGATGTGGGCGTGTGTGTGTGTATGTTTGCAACCACATACACGTTAATATATCAGGAGAAAGTGTGGCGGATAAATAAAAGAAAAAAAAAAAATGGGGAAAAACAATAGAATGGGTAGTTGGAAAAACAAAGTGTGAACCATTTGCAAAATTAAAAAAAATGGATCGCGGTGCATAAATGTGTGGTTACCCTTATATTACATACAACATGGATTTTATATAAAATTTGGGAGTAAAAACGCAAACTCATACTCGGCTACCAATGTGGATACTTTTTGTAATTTTTGAAGGACTTATACTAGACTACCACGGTGGATTTAATATGAAATTTCTTGAGGACTTATATGACCCAATAATGTGAATTTTACTTACATTTTTCCCAGGATTCGTACAATGCTATCAATGTGGAATTTATTTACAATTTTTTGAGGACCTATATTAGGCGACTAATGTGGATTTAACATAAAATTTCTTGGGGACTCGATAGATTATGTCAAGGTCTTACATGATGCTAGCAATGTGGATTTAATTTAGAAATTTTTTGAGTATCCCTACAAGTCTACCAATGTGGAATTTATTCAATTATTTTTATACCCTCCACCATATTATGGAGGGTATATTAACTTTGTCATTCCGTTTGTAACTCCTCGAAATACTCATGTCAGACCCAACAAAGTATATATATTCTTGATCAGAGTAAAATTCTAAGTCGATTTAGCGATGTCCGTCTGTCTGTCTGTCCGCCTGTCTGTTGAATAACGCTATCTTTCAAATGAATTGAGATAGATGGCTAAAATTTTGCACACATGTTTATTTTTCCAGTAGGCAGGTTAAGTTCGTAAATGGGCCATGTAGGTCCACGTTTTCATATGGCCCCCATATAACGGTACCTCAATATATTCGGTATTTTGATGATTTTAGCGACATTATTCACCGGAATTGTTTCAAATTTGGTATTTGAAATTCGAAATGGATACTACACCCTAAGACAGAAAAATGTCTGTGCAGGTCCACGTCTTCCTATAGCCCCCATATAAGGGTACCTCCCAATATTCGGTATTTTGATGATTTTAGCGTCATTATTCACCAGAGTTGTTTCAAATTACGTATTTGGAGTTCGTTATGAGAACTACAATCTGTGACAGAAAATTGTCTATGCAAGTCCAGGTCTTCGTATAGGCCTCATATATCATTACCTCCCTATATTCGGTATTTTGACGATTTTAGCTACAATACCCATCGATATTGTTTGAGATGTGGTATTTGAAGTTCGTAATGAATGATACAGCCTGTAACAGATAATTGTCTATGCAGGTGCATGTCTTCGGACAGCTCCGATATAACGGTACCTCCCTATATGCGATATTTTGACGATTTTAGCTACATTATTCACTGTTTATTTCAAGTTTCGAGTTTGAATATGGTAATGGCTTATGACAAACAATGCCTATGTAGGACCACGTCCTATAGACCCCAATGGTCTATACGAATTTTTTAAGAATTTTATTTTTTGAAAATTTCCACATTCGTTCCAAAAGGTGGAGGGTATTCAAAGTTCGGCCCGGCCGAACATACTGCTTTTAACTTGTTTTTTTTTTTTTTTTTTTTTTGATTTTGAAGGACTCCTTCGACTCCATAAGTTTGGTTTTTATTAATACGTTTTTTGAGGATCTATGCAAGGCCAAGAAGATGGATTTTATTACCAATATTTTCAGGGACCTTTTTTATAAAATATTTTGAAAAATCGGAATCTATCATCTTCATGTGAAGAGAATCGGATGCTTATTTCGCATTTAATTGGCGTTTTTATTCAAAATGTTGACCCCTTTATAGGGAAGGTACCAGAACGAGTGGATTGATATATCTCATCTTCTCACCAGATCTTGTGGTGATAGAAATATTAAGATATGGGAAATTTGAATAGAGTCGGATGCTTATCTCGTATTTTATGGGCGATATAATTATTACAAATTTTGACCGGTTGTGGGGGAAGTATAAGAAGGAGTGGTCCGACATATTCCATCTTCACACCTTGTTATATGTTGATAGAAATATTGGAATGTACCAAGTTTGAAAATAAATTATGAGCTGTGTGGTTATTCAAAATGCTGAGCCTTTTATGGGTGAGGTACCAGAAGGAGTGAATCGATATCTACCATATTCAGATCAGATCTTCTGCTGGTAAAAATATTGATATGTGTGAAATCGTGAAAGGAAGAGGGTGCTCATTTCGCATTTTATGATCGTTTTGTTATTCAAAAATTTTACCCCTTTATGGGGGTAAAGAACTTTTGTTGATAGAAATATTGGGATGTGTTAAATTGTGTTGCCCCTTCGTGTGGGTGGCACATGATGGAGTGTGCCGATATTGTCTATTTTGGCACCTGATGTAGCGCAGGTACAAATATTAGGATTTGCAAAATTAAAAAAAAAAATTGGATGATCCGTTCGTATTGTATACGCAAAATATTCTTCTGCAAACATTGTGACCTTTTGTGGGGGAGGTAACAGAAGTAGTGGACCTATATTGTCCATCTACGAACCCAATCTAAGTTCGACAATAATATTACGATATACCAAGTTCGAATAAAATCGGATACTCCCTTCGAGAGTTATTATGCGCATCAGCCAGCAGACAGACGGACGAACTGACATCCTATAACGACTCCAAATGTTCTGAAACGGAAATAGTCCAAAGGGACCTACTGTCTAAAATAGTTATTTCGATGAGACACGTTTTGACCGTATCGAATGATATATACCCTCTTAGTCTCATGGCTGAGGATATACAAACGACATTTAAACATTTTGGTCTGTATTTGCCCACAGACTACACGAACAATCATCTACCCCTCTTCATGTTTTGCAGCAGTTCCGTTTGCCATGAAACTTGTTTCATTGTTGGTCAACCATATCCTTGAAATATTTTCCGGCAAAGGTCAAAAGTGCATCATCAGCTGCACAAAAATGGATGGTTGAACAAAAGCTGGAAAAGGTCCACGTAATAGACCACCGAAGGAGGGTGTGGAAATGGATTCGTTTGCTTGTCTTTCTCAGGAAATAATGTTGAAAAGCTATTGATTTTTCATTTTGTTGAAAGTGCTTTAAATAAACTTGGCTAAGCGGATCTTCGAAGAAAAACTAAATTGAATGAATAAAAATTAAGAAGTGACATTTAGAATAAATTTTACTTCCTATATTCCCCTCTAACTTCACGTTACCAAGCCATTTATCATTCAATCCTTCATCGGCCTAGAATAATGTATGGTAATCCATCTATTCTAGGAATTATTACAAATTCTTTAAACGCTTTTCACCAGTATTCAATATTATGTTGTGGCATAACCAAACCCCTCCTTTAGGCCACAACAACAACAACAACACACGATTTAATGGTCTAATTATGATAAACAAACTACCATAAATTATTGCCGACATCCTTAAGATCCTTTCACCACAAATATAGCAACAACAACACCCTTAACCATAACTAGGCTAAAACAAATAACTGTTGATGTAAAAATAATTAACATTAATTTCTCTATTCCGCAGCAGAGGTATCTTTTCAGAAATAGTTGAGTGCTCGCTTCTTGTCGGCCCATTAATTACGGAGCAAAGCCATAAATCTTCAGATAACAAAGTGCTGTAGCTATGGCATTAATACTTACTTGAAATAGCAGAGGATGGCCAATGACAGGAGGATGGCAATTAACGAAATGCCATAGCCAATTTCATACATCAAATTTACACTTTTTTGCCACTGAAAAGAAAGTTGAAAGTGAAAAAGTGATAAGTGGTTAATAGAATCGTAAGGAATAACAGGATATTAAAAATTTGTAAAAACTTAGTAAAATTTAGTAAAAGAAATAAAGAAATTTAAATTTTTAACAAGACATTTTGCAATTCTTTAATAAAACAATTGATTATCTAGTTAAATAACTGAGTGACAGAAAATCGACACACGGACGAAACGGCTGAAGCTAGAATCTTTCCAATTTTGGACGAGGGTCGGCCTTGGTGCGTAGGTGTATGATAAGGATGAGTTTTTCGAAATTCGTACTAAAAGGTGAGGAAAATCTAACTGCACTAAAAGTTTAATATTTGTATTGGGCAAAAGGAGTGAGAGTCACTGATGGAGTGCAGAATAGACGCACCAAAGGTTTTTGGAAATTCGAACATTAAGGTTACGAAAAGTTCTAAAATTGTACTATACTTCTAAAATGGTACAGGTTGGCATTATGTGAACAAGTAAAGGAAAAGTACTAATAGAATTTGACATTGGGTGAATCGAAAGTGCTTGAAATCTGGAATTTTGCTGTTCATGTGTAATCTGGACCTATGGAGGGGGTTTCGGATATGAGTACTGTCATTGTACGAAAATTTCTAAATGTTATTAAATGAAGGGATAGGGATAAAATTGTAAAATTTTTATTTTTTATATTACTGAAGGTATCTGTGTCTGAGATATAGTGGAGGTTAGAAAATGCATCATATATTTTTTAGAAAATTACGAAATTTTGTATTGGGTGAAGGGATAGGGATTGAATCCTCAAACTTGATATTGAGATCTCTTGTCGTAGCTGGTATTGATATATCGGGATGGTTTTGAAGGTGTGTATTTTAATTGTACGGAAAGTACTAAATGAAATTTCGTCTTAGTTAGTTAGGGATAGAGATAAATGTTGATATTTAGATAAATTTGATATTGAGTGAATGTATAAAACTGGAAATCCGAAATTTGATTTTGAATTCTCCGTTACCATCTGGAGTTGAGATCTGTAGTGGAATTCTCCAACTCATTTCTTGGGATGCCGACAAAAGTCGATAAAACTAAAATGCTTTTATTATCGGTAATTAACGAAATTTGAAAATCAAAGTAGTTGCTAAAACCTACCGTTATATACCAATGTTGTCAACCTTAATTAGTTTTTTATATCAAAATTTTAGGTTTCAAGTTACCGATTTTTGTCGGTAACTCAAAATATGAGTTAGAGAATCACACTACTAGTGGTGGTTTTGCAAAAGCATATTATAAAATTTGGAAAAGTACATAATGTTATAATTTTGGATAACTGCTGGTGTCTAGGATGGAGAAATGTAGATTGTTTTAGTTATGCGAACTGAATGTTACTAAATTTGGTGAAGGGTTAGAGCTAAAATACTGAATGATCCTTGCAAAAAATCCATGAAAAAGATATTTGGAAAAAATCTTTAAAAAATCCACTGGTATCGCTATAATGGTCTTCGAAAAAAAAACAGGTTTATTACTCTAATAGTCTTTGGAAAAAATTCTTTGTAAAATTCACGAATACTGCTCTACTGATCTGTGAAAATAATGGTTAAAAAAAATCCACTATTACTGCTTTTAAGGTCCTTAGTCCACGATTATTTCCTTAAACTTCATTAGATTTTTTTTTGAAAAATCCCTGATTATTGCATTAAAGGTCCTTGAATGGAATTGTTTAAAAATATTACGACTATTGCTCTCAATTTAAAACAAAAATCAGGATTATTTCCTAAATGTCCTTAAATTTATTTTAAAAAATTCACGATTATTACTTTGACACTCCATGGAAAAAAAAAACACTTTGGAACATCTGCGGCTATTGTCTTAAAGGTCCTTGAAATTATCTATAAAAAAATCCATGATTATTGCTCTAAAGTTCCTTGGAAAACATTCTTTAAAAAATCCACGATTACTGCCTTGTAGGTCCATGAAAAATAAATTTAAAAAATCCACGATTATTTCCATAAAGATCCTTAGTAAATTTTTTTAAACAATCCACGATTATTTCCTTAAAGTTCCGTGGTAATTTTTTTTATCCACGATTAAAGTCATAAAGTTCTTTGGAAAATATTCTTTAAAAAATCCACGATTTTTTTCTTCTTGAAATCCAAAAACAAACCAAAATTAAAGTCTTAAAGGTCCATTGAAAAAAATCTTTAAAACATCTACGATAAAAGTCTTAACGGTCCTTGAAAAAAAAAATTATTTAAAAAATCCACGATTTTTGTTTTATTGGTCCTTGGATCTTTCCAAATGGTGGAGGGTATTCAAAGTTCGACCAGGCCAAACTTACAGTTGTTTTTTTTTCTTTGATGATATTTCCAAATTGTTTGGTCACGATAAAAACCCCAATATTTGGACAGAAAATATTTGAAAATTTTTGTCATACTTTTTTAAAAAATGATTTAAAAAATATTAAGAGCAGCTATTCTTGGAAGCTTTTTGAAATAGACGGGATTTCGTGGCCAGGAAATTCTTGGACAGAAGCTATTCGAAATAGGACTCTTGGCAAGGGTGTTTTTGCAAAAATTTTCCAAAAAAATAACGATTTGTTAACAAACAACTTTTTATTTTAAAATAAATTGATCAAATAGTCAAAATTTTTGGACATCACGACATAACAAACCAAAATTAACGTCTTAAAGGTCCATTGAGAAAATTCTTTAAAAAATCCAAGATAAAAGTCTTAACGGTCCTTGAAAAAAAATTATTTAAAAAATCCAAGATAAAAGTCTTAACGGTCCTTGAAAAAAAATTATTTAAAAAATCCACGTCTTTTGCTCTAACGGTCCTTGGAAAAATATCTTTAAAAAATTCACGGTTATTGCGTTTAAGTCAATTGGAAAAAAATTAAAAAAATATTGCTGCAATGGTTATTGCAAAAAAATTTCAACAAATCAACGATTATTGCCTTAATGGTCCTTGGAAAAGAAATTCTTTAAAAAATCTTGTATGGTCCATGAAAAAAATTTACATAATACTTTCTAGGGTCTTGTAAAATTTTTGGATTTGAAGTCTTTTCAAAAAATATTTAAAGAATCGACGATAATTGTTCTAACTCCGAAATTTAATTTACCTCGTGTAAATTCATTCTTATTTAAATTGAATTTCCTGTCACAAAGTGAGGTAATAAATTACAACAATCGGAAAGACAACGCAATAAATTACCAGTTATTAGACGCCAACAATTTATTTATATTTTGTTTTGTAGATACTTACCTCAAAGTCATCGATATTTACACAGGTGGTATAATTAGACCATGATCTATTGGTTAGTGGATGTTTATACCATTCGCCATTTATTTCACACTCCTTATGGGCATATCCTGCAAAAAACAGAAAACAAAAATAAATTACCTTGTTTTAATTGCCACATTAATTTCAGACACGTAGAGGAGTACATTTTGATATCTATAAGTATCATATTTAACTAATATGGAGCAATTAAACATACAAGGACATACATGTTTTTCAAATAAGAGAGATTTGAGGCTTTGTTTTATTGTTATTGTAATAATAATTGTTATTTATTATTATTATTAATTTATTTTCTGTTAAGAAAACAAACGATTTTAATGGTGAAATCCAGACCATATATAAACAATATCGTTTTATACCTATCCCCTAGTAGAAGAATACCTTATGGACACCTCCTCTCTTTTGAGAGTGCTCACAATTCTTAGTTAACATCTTGCAAAGAAAAAAAAAAAGGCTAGCCAAAGTCCAATTTCAATAATGGAAAATTATTGAAATGACCTCCGACACAAATAATCCCCTGCATCAAATGAAAATCCCTATAAATTTCGAAAATTTATTGAAATTACACAGAATGAAACTCCAGCATTATTTATTCGCGGACTTTCCGTAAATCCACTGATGCCTGTTGCCCGAAACGCCGAAAAATACGCGTTTCTGAGAAAAGTAACACCCCCGACGTGTTTGGTGGTTCACAAAAATTTCACGCTTGTTTGTGACAGAAGCATTTACGTGCAATTCAAACAACAACAACAACAATGCCAAGGTTTGTGTATTGCTTTAAGGACCTGTGGCTCGGTGGTGTGCCGTATCGTTGTGTTGCGAAAATGAATACACGTTTTGAATTTTAAATATAATTTACAAAGTTAACTTTGTTTACCAAAAAACGTTTCGCACAAACAAATAATTATACATCTCTGGCCTCGCGCCATATCAAATTTCGTTAGGGGTTTAACTGGAAAATTGTGCGGAAAAATTTGTTTAAATAATTACAAAATTTTTAATTCATTATGTGACTGGGCGAAACAATTTATATGGAAATCAGAGTTGTGAAAATGTATTTTCAGCGATTTAAATTTGCGTGCCTTGATAAGTAAAGATCGAAGTAATTACAATGGTTTTTAAAGTTCATTTTTAAATTTTGGTATGAGAAAAGGGAGGTATAGATTTTACAGAATACCTGGAAGGTTAAGTCATATACCAATTCCAATAAATTAGAGATAGTACGTAAAAAAAAAAACCAGAAAGTATTTTAAAAAATCCCCGATTATTACCTCAAAAGTCCTTGGAATAAATTCTTTAAAACATCCACGATTGTTGCCTTAAAAAATATGTATTGATTTTGTCGACAGATGTATATTCTAAGCCAATATTCGTTTAATTAAATATATTTTGACATGTGTTTTGATTATTCAAACTATTTACCACTTATGGTGGAGGTTCTGAGGGGGTAGGCCAATATTGTAGAGCTATATCGACTACTTCATTCACTTTTGATGTGTTGATTACTGATGGCATCTGTCTTTCACTTTTCGAAATCTTAAAGTTCGAATTTCCAAAAACCCTTTTGTAAATCTATCCTGCACTCCACCAGTGACTCTCATACCAAATTTTAGAATGGTATGTATCCAGTATAAAAGTGTTAAATTTTTAGTACATTTTTATACCCTCCACCTTGGAGAGGAGGGTTTATTAACTTTGTCATTCCGTTTGTAACATCCTTAAATATTCGTCGTAGACCCCATAAATCATTCATAATCAGCATAAAATTCTAAGTCGATTTAACGATGTCCGTCTGTCTGTCCGTGTGTCTGTCTGTCTGTCTGTCTGTCTGTCTGCTGAAATCACGATACAGCCTACAATATTTGACGTAGAGCGTCAAAATATAGCAAAGCTATTTACATTGTGTCTAGGATGGTTGGTATTGAAAATGAGATATATCGGCCCACGTTCTGGTATAGCCCCCATATAACGGTACCTCCCGATATTCGGTATTTTGATGATTTATGCCACATTTTTTCACGGATGTGTCTGTAAATTGGTATTTGTAGGTCATAAAGGGTCCCTGAGCGTGTGGCAAAACATTGCATGTATAGGTCCACGTTGTGGTATAGCCCCCATATAAAGGTACCTCCCGATATTCAGTATTTTAGTTTTTTTGCCACATTTTTTCACGGATTTGTCTGAAAATTGGTATTTGTTGGTCATAATCGGTTCCAGCTTCGGTGGCGAAACATTGCATGCATAGGTCCATGATTTGGTATAGCCCCCATATAACAGTACCTCCCGATATTCGGCAATTTGATGATTTTTGCCACATTTTTTCACGGATTTGTCTGAAAATTGGTATTTGTTGGTCATAATCGGTTCCAGCTTCGGTGGCGAAACATTGCATGCATGGGTCCATGATTTGATATAGCCCCCATATAACGGTACCTCCCGATATTCGGTATTTTGATAGTTTTTGCCACATTTTTCACTGATTTGTCCAAAAATTGGTATTTGTGGGTCATAATGGGTCCTAGTTCGTGTGGCGAAACATTGTATGTATAGGTCCACGTTTTGGTGTAGCCCCCATATAACGGTACCTCCCGATATTCGGCATTTTAATGGTTTTTGCCACAGTTCTTCTAATGTTTCTTTTACCCTAAGGTGGAGGGTATTAAAAGTTTGGCCCGGCCGAACTTACTGTTTTTCTTACTTGTTTCACTTAAATGTATATTATGTCTGCAGGTATTGAAAATGAGCCATGTAGTCCACGTTTTGGTTTAGACCCCATATAATGGTGCCTCCCTATTTTCGATATTTTGGTGATTTAAGCGACATTATTCACAGGAAATCTTTCAAATTTGGTGTTTGATGTTCGTACTGGATACTAAAGCCTGTGACAGAGAATTATCTGTGCAGGTCCACGTCTTCGAATAGCAATAGAAAGGAATTCGTGGCCAGGAAATTCTTGGACAGAAGCTATTCGAAACAGGACTCTTGGCAAGGAAGTCCACGATTTCTGCTGTGCCAAATCCCTGCAAAATATCTTTGCAAAACCCACGACTGTTTCGTCAAGAAGTCTTCAGTAAACCCTAGCGTCTGATCGAAGTTTAATTAATATGGTAAGAAATTTGACTAAATTGGAGTACGCCAGAGCATTATATGGAATTTATGATTTTTAAAAATTGACTCCATGTTTTGATTTGATCTGTTGTTGCCGTTAATACTTAAATGAGCGAAGTTTAAATAATGACTGCGAAGAATTTTACAAAATTAGTGTGATCCGATTATTTTGAATTTCTGCAGCTGATCTCAGCCTGATACAGATATTACAGATGTGCGAAATTTTTACCAAAGTTTGGAACAAATCAAATAGTTCTCTTCGAAGTGAGTGGCCAGATAGACAGAAGGAAAACATACGAACATCAAATGTCCTGACATGTAAATTTCGTACAAAGAGATCATTCGTCTAAAACTATTATTTCGGAGAGGCAAATTTTTCGTTGTAGCAAATTATTATATATAATCATAAATCTGAGGGCATAAACCATTCGGTCTAAGAATACAAACGCCTTTTTGGAATTTTTCTCTTCTGATTTAATATGATAACCTTCACTTGGCATTTCCCACTCTCCAGTTTTCCAGTTGCACTGCATCAACTCTTATATTACAAAATGTACTCTTTCGTCTATCCAATATGACCCCTTAAACTCCTTTTTTAAATTAAATATCACAGTCTAGAATACCCATCTAACAGCGATACGGACACCTAAAAATCTCATTTGCTTCTATTATTTAACACTCTACCATAAAAGAAAATCGTTAAATTATATGACGAACATCTTTCCGAAAATAATGTGGCGTGTAATATTCTCTTTAATGAGAGCAAAGAAAAAAAAAACGCTCTAAAATCTCTAAAACGATGCTAACACAATTTAATTATACGTAAACACACAGCTTCAATGTGTGTGTGTGTGTATGTATCAAAGCAGTAATGAAAACTTGAGTCTCGTTAACACCCATACATGTGTAAATAAACGCCTTTGTGCGTTCGTGCGTCCAGGCATCTTGAAGTATAGTGTTGTAGTTCTGTGTTCTGTTTGTCGTACGATCGATAAAACAACACTTGTTCGAGACGATACCTGTAAGCAAGAAACAGCATGTTAACTTGTAGGGATGCCTTCTTTTAGACGTGTGTTGGTTATGCAGTGACGTGGTTGAAGTGTCACAAAAATAGTGTAATTATAATAATATAAAACAGAACGCCTTGCTATTCGAATCTAATTATGGCTATAGAAGCCACAAACATAAATGAAACGAACGTGCCTCATCGAAGTGAATGCTTTAAACTTTAGGACTCATTGGACTTAATTCGAATCAGGACATTTTGGGACAAGTTAGAGGTGTCCATCCATCCGCCTGTCTGTCTGTCTGTCTTGCTGGCTGGTACGCACGATAACTCTCGAAGGGAGTATCCGATTTGGCCAAAACAAGTACATCGTAATATAATCGGTCCACTCTTTCTGGTACTTCCCTTTGCAAATCATAATATTTGCGTCAGTGCCCATACCCATGTGCCATAAGAGTCCGGTTATCTTCAAATTTCACACATCCCAATATTTTTATTAACCCAAGATCTGCTGTGGAAATAGGAAAACCTCCCCCAAAAACGGTAAAGGTTTTGAATATCCATGAAATAAGAAATTAATATCAGATTAACTTGGCGCATCTCAATATTCCCATAATGAAAAGATATGTTATAAAGCTGGTGGAGATCTGACCATTTCTTCTGGTACCTTCCCCACAAAGGTTCAAAACGTTGAATAACCAAAACAATCATAAAATCAGAAATAAGCATCTGGTTCTCTTTAAATTTCTCATCAGTTTTAGGGCAGGTGCGATGGACAATATCGGTCCACTCCGTCGAGTACCTCCCCCATAAGGGTCAAAATTTTAAACAATTATAACTCTTATAAAATCTTAAAATAGTCCGGTTGCCTTTAAATTACACACACCACAATATTATTAGCCCAAGGTCTGGCGTGAAGATCGAATATATCGGTCCACTCCTTCTGGTACCTCC